TAAGAAAATTTCTAACTTCAAAAAAAAAAAAAAATCTTAAAAAAACTCCAAAATTTAAAAAAAAAAAATCAGTTATTACCAAATAAAATTGGAAAAACGCAAGAAAAATAATAATTATAGATATTTACATATATAAACATATATTCCAAAAAAATGCAAAAGTAAAAATTCTTGACGATATTTTTAGATAAAAATTCCAACACGTGCAAGAAAAATCATTAATGATATTTCGCAGTAAAAGTCCAAGAAATTGCAAAAAAAAAAAAAATAAATAATAATTAATAAAAAATTCGTTCATTAATTATCTTCTAACTCGCTTTAAAGATTAATACCCTTTCCAATTAGCGGCGGTACTTTTCCAAAGGCCTTTACCACAGTTTTTTTTCCGTCATGTCTGTATGTCATATTGATAAGAAATATAGAATTTTAAAAAAAATATTAGTCAGCTGAGGTCAAGAATTCCTAGCAAGAATATCAATTAGTTATTGACACTTTTGACGCTCAGGGACTTCTACTTCTTCTAAACGTGATTTTTCAATGAGTTTTAAAGGACAAACACTCGAAAACAAGCAGAAATTAAAAAAATTAATAAATATAACAAAAAATGCCCATGAGTGAAAATGACGCATTAGAAGCGTTTTTATGATAATAATAATTACTTTAAAGTTTTTTTTTTTTGATTTTCATGCAGTTTTTATCGGTAATCAAATACCCCCAAGCCTCTGCATATCTTATCTGACACTCATATGCAAGCTGTAGGTTGTAGAAATCAACTTTGAACGTTGAAAAGCTTGCGAATTCGCATGTATGTATGTATGTAGGCATGTCAAACAAATAACGAAACTACGCAGTAGTTAAAACAAACGTACACATACTCATACTTACTTACATATGTATATGTACCTCCGTGTAGGTGGTCGCGGTAGACGAGTGGTTAGAATTGCGTACTACCATTCGGCAGGTTCGGGTTCAAATCCTAGTGTCGTACTAACATCCAAAAACTTATATTGAAAATTAATTTAAGATAAAAAATTAAGTGAAAATTTCTAATTGTGGTCGCATTCGGCGTGTTATGTCAACCCCTCGGAGTGTATTTCGGACATGAAATAAAAGGTCCTAATAAAAAACCATCAACCGGTCGTAGGTGGCTTAGTGTAAACTGTAGGTCCTTCCATTTGTTGGACGTAAAACCAAAAATTGGAGGAGGAGCTCGGCCGAAAAACGTTTAAGCGGTTACAAAGCACCAATTATATATTTAGAAATAAATAAAAGAATATAAAAAAATAAAAAAAAAATAAAAAAAAAAAAAATAAAAAAATTTATATAAAATAAATATATAAAAAAAGAATATGTGCAAGTAATGAGAATAATTGTAAAATCTATGTTAAAAATATATATATTGCGTAAGATAAGATATAAAGCTCCACAGTAAATAATTAACATCGCACAGATGGAAGTTTTTTTTTTTGGAATTTTTATGCAGTCAAAAATAGAACTAAAATAAATCTCAAACATATTTATATATGTATGTTTTAAATATATAATATGCGCCATTACTACTACAACAACAAATGAATAATTAAGCCTTTATTTATTGAAGCTAAAAATAGCTCAGCAGCACAACAACAAAAATGTGTTACATATTTGCACATACATACATACATACATATTTACATCTAACCTACAAGCATGAAATTGAAAACATTCTATAGAATATAAACAAAAAAAGAACGCAAAACAGAAAATAAAATGCTTCTATTCAAAACAAGGCGACCAAATTAGTCGATACTGAAAGAAAAGGCGAGTAAAACAGAATGACAATAAATTTTGCTTGCAAAACAAAGAGTCGAAAAAATTTATTGTTTTTTGGTTTTCATTTTGCACAAACGAAAACAAATCGTCAAATATACATGTATGTTTTTAGGGCAGAGAATTACAACAAAAGGGTAATAATAAATAATATTTTTTTTAACCATGGTAATTGCGGCACAGCCCGCAATATATATATTTTTAACGTAGATTTTACAATTTTTATTCTCATTACTTGTACATATTCTTTTTTTATATATTTATTTTATTTAATTTTTTTTATTTTTTTTTTTATTTTTATATTCTTTTATTTTTTTATATTATTTTTATTTTTGTATATTATTTTTTTTATTTTTGTATATTATTTTTTTTTATTTTTTTATATTATTTTTTTTTATTTTTTTATATTATTTTTTTTTTATTTTTTTATATTATTTTTTTTTTATTTTTTTATATTTTTTTATTTTTGTATATTATTTTTTTATTTTTTTTATATTATTTTTTTTTATTTTTTTATATTATTTTTTTATTTTTTTATATTATTTTTTTTTTATTTTTTTATATTATTTTTTTTTTATTTTTTTATATTATTTTATTTATTTCTTATATTCTTTTATTTATTTTTTACATCCTTTTTTCTTTTTTTATATCCTTTTTTATTTTTTAACATTCTTTTATTCAATTTTTTATATTCTATTATTTATTTTTTAAATCCTTTTTTATTTTTTTCTCATTTTCTTTTTTATTTTTCATATTCTTCTCATTTTCTTTTTATTTTTTATACTCCACTCATTTCTTTTTTATTTTTCATTTTCTTCTAATTTTAGTTTTTATTTTTTATATTCTTTTTATTTTTATATCCTGATTTTTAATTTGTCTTTACTTTTATATATTTTACATTTTTCAAATTTTTTAATTTTTTTAATTTTTGAATTTATGCCTACGTATAAACGTATTTATATTACCATATTTTTAATATATTTTTTATGCATTTTTATATACGTATATATAATAACATATTATTAACATATTTTTTAACATTTTATTTTTTTATTTTTATTTTTTACATTTTTGAATTTATGCATACGTATTTACATATGTATATTTTTTAATACTTTATTTTTTATTGTTCTATTTTTTTGTAATGTTTCAAGTTAATATATTTTATCTTCATTATTTATTTTATTTTATTCTCATTTCCTTTCATTATAATTCTATCTTTTATTTCTTGAGTGTATTTTTTTTATTTTTATTATTATTCTAATTTTTATTTTAGTTTTTAGTTTTTAGTTTTTTATTTATTTTGATTTTTTCATTTTACATAATTTAAGTTTGATTTTTAATTTTTCTTATTTTATTTAATTTTTTCAGTTTTTACTAATTAAGAACTAATTAAGTTCTCTTTTAAAATTTTTTAATCTATTTAATTTATTTTTGAATTTTTTATTTTGCTTTAATTATTTTATTTTCATTTTTTATAATTTATATTATTTTATTATGAATTTTTATTTTTATTTTTTTCGTTTATATATTTAAACTCTAATTTATTTCAATTTTAAATTTAGTTGTTTTATTTAATTTAACTTTTTGTTTTAGTTATTTGAATTTTTTTATTTACTCCTTATTTTTAATTTACTTAATTTTATTTAAATTGATTTATTTTATAATAATATAATTTGCTTATTTCATTTTAAATTAATTATAAATTTATTTATTTTCTTTACATTTTTCTTATGTATTGATAATTTTTTTTCTTATTTTTTAGACTTTTGAGGCAAATTTTTTCAATTTGTTTAATTTTTTTGCTCACATTTATTCTTATTATTTTTAACTACTTTAGAATTTAGCTGTTTTATTTTGCAATGTGGATAATTTATTTGTTTTTTGATTTATTAATTTGAGAGTTTTTTTAATTTTTTTTTAATACATACATATATGATAATACCGAAATTTTTCCCAAATTAAATTATACATTTCATAGTCTTATCAAATATCGTAGTGCAGGGTTATATTTTTTTATTTAAATGCTGATGATCTGCAATTCTTACGCGATAAAAGCGCTCTAAATACGTTTGTGTCGCTATAAGTATATAAATACATCGCACACCTACTATAACAGCATAGACAGCTTACAGACGGTGTGGTCTGGCACCCCACACAAACAAATTTTTAAATCTTATCTTCAGGCATATGTACATACATACGTACAAAAAAATTTAGATTGTGATGTGCTGATAAGAAAAATAAAAAATGCGCGAATTTATCATGGAAACATGCAAAATAAATACGCAAATATTTCCATATGAAATTGGCTGTAATCTAAAGGAAACAGTTTAAAAGTAACTAAAAGTGCAAAGATTTTCTCATTTTTCCCTTGCTCAACAGTAGGTACCTACGCCAAGGTTTTTTCGAGTGCGTCACTCTCACTCTGCCACTGGCTGTTCTCCTGACGTCAATCTATTTCTTTAAATTTATAGTTCCTTTTCTCACCCTCAATTTTGTTATCTTTAAGCTTCTCTTATCAACAAGCTATTTTTAACTTGGCTTCGTTTTGATTCTCATTTTTTTACACATATAAAAATTGGGTTTGCGCTAGTTGGTAACATACATTCTCCGATCATCCCGAAAAAAATTTAAAACAAAAAAGAGAAAAAAAGTAAACCTGATTTGGCTTTTGGCAGCACGTGAAGCAGACATGTTCACTTTCCACCATTTCTCTTTGGCTATCGGAATTTTCTCGTTTTTTTTTTTTATTGATCACATTTGCTTACTAATTTTTAGGCTTTTTGTTGCAATCTTAAATATTTCCAGAAGAAAAAAAAATAAATTGCCAATGAACATAACAAAAGAAAGACAGCAACTGGCGCTTGTTGCATCATTAACGTTTGATTGATTACACAAGTGAAGAATTCTTATCTGAAAACTGCAAATCATAGGCAAAATGTAATTTCTGATAAGAACATTTGTATATATGTAAGAAATAATAACCATTCTCAACCGATAGAACAACAAAAGCAACAGGATAACAAGCAAAGAAATAATTTAAGAAACTCAAACAAATACATTTATAATATATATATGTATATATTCATATTCGCATTGATTGGTAACTTTCCATTAGAACCTTCATTCATACATATGTATGTGCATTGGTTATCATAAGCAAAATATTGAAAAAAAAAAACACTTACCCGCCAGCAACTAAATGTATGAGCGTGTCACGTTGATTCTGGGACATAATCACGCGAGAACTTTTTTTCGCACTTTTCACAAATGTGCAATAACAATAAAAATTCTAATGTCAATACACAATTTAATCGAGAGAAAGCAAAATTACCGGCTATTTTTGCCGGTTTTACAGCAGATAAACCGTACACAAACAATAAATGATAATAAATATGTGAATATTTATATAACACTCAAAAGGCTTTTTAAACTAGAACCGGCAAATGTTAGCACATACAATATATAAGTCAACAATAGTAACAAGCTGCACGTTTTTAAAAACGTTTTCACAAATACCAGTTGAGTTTTGATACGTAAGCACTATGCTACCCAGTGGCTGCTTGGTGGAATTGTGAAATTGTTTTGTGCGCCGTCTCTTGTGGAGATCAAGCAAAGACTACAACGATGGCGACTGGTTACAATGATACGATGATGCTTAATGTAGCTCGTGCGTAGCGTAAATAACGATAAAGGCGTAGTATACTAAGCAGACACACAAACACTATGTTTTTCTTTCCATATGCACGGCTGTTCGGTTACTGCAAATATATGTAGCTTATGTCCACAATATTTGTGTACTTGGCTGGCATGTGAGCATGCGAGGGGCTAAACGCATGCATACAAAAAATAAAAAAAAAAGTAACTCGTCGTTGGAACGGGTGTGCCGCCACCCGCACACGTAATGTTCCTTTATTCCTTTACGTATTAGTGTGTGGTTTTTTGTTCTTAACAATGATTATTATTGCACAAGAGTTTGTCAAGAAAAGATACTCGTGCAATTCTTCCTGCCGCGCGCACTTATGTAATGCACCTCACACTGTATGATTGGACCACTTTGGTGATACTACGAGGCGTAACTTTTCTCAATCAACTATACTGAATGTAGCGTGATTATAAATGAAAATTTAACAATTTTCTGCTGTTGATAGCTATTTTTACAAATTTTAAGTGCTTCAACCTGCAGATTATTCTGGAATAAATATATTTTTAGTTCAGCTCAAGATAGATTTACACAACTGGTTAACGTTGTTGCAGCTGAAAAAGTTGAAAAAATTTTTATGAAATTTTCTCTTTCTGTACACGATTCGTATAACTTCGTTTCGTTTTATGATTTTTATTTTTATTTTTTCACTTTGCACATTTATTAGCGAAAATATGTTCTAAATTTTAGCGCATGGGATTCAATATCAACAACTCTCGACGAAGGTGAATTTTCTATTGAAATAAATTTGAGCTTTTCGTTCATAACAAACGCAAAGCCTTCCGTAAAGTACAATGTGGCACGTTTGTGTGTTATATGAAAACGTAACAACGCTTTTCTAACCACAGGGTGGTTGGCAAATAAGAAAAATTGTTGTTATATAAGAAAATTTTTTTTTTAAGATTATCAGAAAACTTATAATAATTATTACACTACTGGATCTGTAAAGCTTTTGACACTATTATCTACTATCATCATATTAATCATTATTATTATAAGTTCTCTGCTGAATAAATGACACTGCCAAAAACTTTATACAGGTCCAGAACTATCAGAACCAGCGCGGTGCCGGTTTTGGTTGAGCCAATTGACTATCTGCGCCTTAAGTGTGGTTGTGGTGCTTTGTGCTTTGCTACGGAAGCTACGCTGATGTTTTGCTGGACTCTGATGGTGGGTGAAAGTCGGGAACAGCAAGGCCTCAAGAGCCTTCGTTACTGGGGTAAGGTGAGAAATCGCCCGATATGACTATCTCTTGTTACCCGGACTTAGAAGCAAGAACACTCACCCATGTGGGGTATTTTTGGTTTAGTCAGATACAAATTGAGGATCTTGATGAGATAATCTGCTTTCACTGGTTTTAGGTTTTGTAGCACCAGCATACCTATTCCGTATTATGACGATTCATTTGGAGACTTTCACTTTCTGATGACTCCTTGAATATCAGCGATGCAGAATTTAAGCTTCGCCGAGGGGGCAATTGAAAGAGTGGGCTAAAAAACCTCGGGTACCCCTTGAACGAGAAGCGATTACAGAATGAAATTTCACCCTGCCATCCCGTCTCGTCGGATTTGACAACGATTTGACTGTGGCTTAGAGCTCGGTTTTCAGAGAGAAGAGTTTACAGGATCAAAAGTGAATCTTCCACTTATTCCGCTTATTCCATGATCGGCGTTTTAATCCTGTTTAGGTCGACAGGAGAGTCGCCGTGTTTATCGCTGGTGAGGGGAAAGGCTTTCTATTAAAATTTCCACACGAATTTTTTCACAAGAAATTTTCAATAAGACCGAACATCTGGGAGTAACTGAACATTTTTGAAAGCTATTTACTAGCGACATCTGCAATCAATCTAGCGAAGACACAATCCAATTCTTACGTTGGCGCTACAACTTACGTAATCAAATGTTTACGAATGTCAAATAAAATAAATTACATAATAAATATGGGAAAAACGTAAGATTTGATAAATGTCTAATAAGATATTAACGGATATCTCGTTGAGCACACAAAAACGAACAAACCTATTGGAAATTCAAAATTAGGAACGAACAAATAGCCGACGTCTACAAATGAGACTGCGCCGACGTCAGAGATGTCGGAGAACAAACCATATATGCTTACATACATACAAATGTTTATGAGTACAAGTGCATTGGCGAAAACGCCGACGACGATGCCTACTTCGGCCGACGCCGACGAAACCACTTGTCAAAGTTTGCACTTTATAGGAGAAATATTATTCTCCAAGTTTAAATTGGAGCTTCATGTGAACGGACGTGTGTAGACGGCGATTTGCGCGAAACAACAACATACATACATACATATTTTTTCCCCAACTCAACAGAGTACGTTTACCAATTAAAGCATTGAATTGATGAAAATACAATAACAACAAAATAAAATATATGAAAATATACATAACAACAAAGTTGACAACAAGTTTGCAACTACGCAACAATTAAATTTGATTTTGGGGGAAAAATTTAAAATTCGAAATATGTCAAATATTTTGACAGCTATAAACATCTACATTTGAAGTTGAAAAGTAAAAAAATTCAAACAATTTTTTTTTTTTTTGTATAAATTTTGTGCAACGATTGCATGCATTGAACATAAAAATAAAAAAATTGGAAAATTTTGTAACGAAATTGTAAAGTGTAAAGCCACAAAATTGCCAAATAAAGTGTATGGATTAGCGTGTGTGTGTGTTTTTTTTTTTTTAAGAAGCGAGCAAATTTTAGTAGATAATTTAGAAGTGCGAAAAACAAGTGTAGTACAAATTCATTGTGGATACACGTAAACAGCAGCGCACAATAACAACAACGTTAATTGTATTGACTATATTGTATGACGAGAAAAAGGAAACAACAAAACAATAACTGACGTCCCAATAAGCGCGGCCCCAAAAAAGCGGCAGTGTCGAAGAATAAGAAGAAGCAACAGCAGCAGCAACAACAATATAGCAGGTGAGCTGTGTAAATGTTGTACAATAAACCCCAATGGGAGTTAAATAACTGAAATATGAACACAAAAGTATTTGGAAATACAATAATCAAAGAATTAACTAAATTTCTGTACATAAATAAATTACACTAACCGCCGTTTCTTACCTACCGCGCCTTGTTAGTTTAATCATACACCCGATATGTATGTGTGTACATATATGTACTAATGTAAAAGGGCAGAGTGCGAACACGAAAATGTGATAAAAGTCAAGATAGGGGAGCTGGCCACGGAAGGGGCCACGTGTGCTACGCAACGAAGAAAACGTTACGTGAGCGAATGTAGTACAAAATGCAGGCGAATCAATGGGGAGACTGTGCGAGAGAGAATCATGACAGAGAGTATGGGAGCGCATGCCGCTCATTTTGAGTGTGCATGTGTGTTTGTGTTTTTACGCTGTAGAGAATGGTAAAAGCATTGATTGAAAAACACCAGCGGCTACGGCGACTACAGCGACTGCTCGCAACGCAACGACATCTTTGTATGGAATGTGCTGTTGCGGTCGTGGTCGCTGTCGCTGTCGACGGCGTTGCTAAAGCGTTGAATTTTTTGGCTTTGGTTAATTGGGCGTTTTTCTTCCTTTTTATGTGGTTGGCTATTTGTTGATACGGTGTCAAAGGGGGACTGACTGGTCCATATAGAATAAATTGCCAATCATCATTAAGTTAAGTGACGAAAAAAGTGGCGAAAAGTAACCCAAAAGCGGTTCAGAGTTTGATAATATTGCAATATACATTTTCTAATTTATTTATTACTGAAGAATTGTACTTGATGGTTCATACTCTGCTAAATGAAATTGTTGCTATTTTAAAATCCAATTTCTTACTTCTCTTTTCATCACACAAGCTTCGAAGGAGAACATCATAAACATTAAAAGTAATCCGCTTAGCATGATGCAACAATTCAAACCTACAAAAATATTTATATACATACATACATACATACATACATATGTACCTACTATGTATGTTGTTCCATTTCTTGCCCGGCATGCTATTATTTGAAGCAAAAGGTGTCGTGGGAGAGGTGAGGTGGACTAAATTCCTAGAACCGGCTGTCGTGAGACAATTCCCGATTGAAGCGGCAGTTCCAGCATTCAAGCGTGACTTCATTCCGTTGCAGGAAATTCTCGTCAGGAATCTCAATAAGGAGGTTCCGCCACAAGTTGACATTCACAACGGAATAAGTGTGAGAAGCACTTAAGATCCTGTAACCTCTCCTTTGGGTCAATCAAGCTGTGGACCACGGTGAAACCCGACGAGACACAATGACCAGATGGAATTTTCATTTCCCGGACAGGAAGAGGCGCACGAGCTATTTAGCCGAGTTATTATCGGTTGACATGATATAGCGTCAAGTAATTTTCCCAGGAAAGATGAAAGCCTGGAAATCCATCGGCCCCGACGAAATAAGCTTGCTGGTGTTAAAACCAATAGAACCAGCAAGAGCAAACTTCCTGATCAAGATCCTCAACTTGCCCTTGGCCACCCAAAAAATACCCGACATTTAGAAAATGGGTAGGTGATCCGGTCTTATCGGTCGATATCTCCTTTCCCAATGGCGAAGATTCTTGAGACCTTGCTGCTTCCGACTTTCACACTTCATCTGAGTCCCATACCGCATTAGCAACTGTACTTAACAGCATAAACACTCAGTTAGTCGTTGGTCTTAGCCAAAACCGTTCTGGCAGTATTGGTTCTGTCAAAAGCTTTTGAAGCTGTCAATCAATAAGTGATATTATCGGCAATTGGGGTGTCCTCATTACCGCGGGGTTGAACAGGTAGACCATGTGCTATCTGAGTTCTCGTTAGTCATCGGTAGAATTTCGAGGTCAAGCATCTCTCCCCGATGCGGTTTAATTTTTATATCTCGAAACTCGTTTCGCGACGGTCTTTCCATACTGCAAGGCAATTAAAACTACAAACCAGAAAAATCCTCGGCTACCTCTTCTTCAGGTGAATGAAGGAGAACCATTCGAACTCGAGGTGAAAGCCGATGGCTTAAAAATTCCGACAATTAACAATCCAAAGTTATTGGGTTGAACATTCGATAGCCTGCACTCCTTCACTCCGCATAAGACTGCAAGTGCCACAAAACTTCAGCACCCAACAGACACTTACTAGAATCTAAATCACCACCAAGGTCCATCAAGGAGTATACGACTTTAAGAATTTCATTCAGCACTACTTAAAACAAACGCTCGACAGGACGGCTTACCGAGAAGAATTAAACTCGATGAATGCACCGAGAGTTCGTCAAAACCTTCCCTAGATCTCTTCCAGTGAATGGCGCTTACGAAGTCAGATCACATCCTGGTGTCGACGCAGAGATGGAGCTGTCTCGTAATACTAGGGAAACTTGGGTTTGGATATTGTAGTAGACTGAAGTCTTAGAAACTCCAGACTTGCCTCAACGTATGTATGTATAACCTGCCTGCCCCTTTCCCGCTGTTTCGAAGCCATCGAAGTTATGGTCCTATTAAAAGGAAGTGGTAAAGCAGACCTCTAAAACTCTACGTTGTAGAGATATTAGAATTTACCATCAGTAAAGCAAACATGTTTTAAGAGGCGACTAAAATTGAATAGTTCCGGCGAAATCCAGGTCTTTACACCGGAGCGAACCGGATTTCTAGTCCGGTGAAATTTGCCTGCCGAGGGGTAGCCGTAATTAGAAAATGTAATTTTCTATGATTTTGGAAGTTGAAATAGGTGGCAATATTATTAAAAATTATTAAATATAAAAGTATTTTTTTATTATATAAATATATATATAATCACTTGGCAACTCTTTTGAAAAAACTTTGATAAATCTCGGTACGATGCTTGAGCAGGAAAATTTGATTTTATT